TTTCCAAATCATGTTCTTTAATTGACAAAAGCACTTTATGGTTTAAAACAAGCTCCTAGAGCTTGGTATGAAAGATTGTCAAACTTTTTAATTGAAAAAAGTTTTTCAAAAGGGAAGGTTGACACTACATTGTTTTTAAAGCATAAAGGTAAAGATTTATTAGTAGTTCAAATTTATGTTGATGATATAATATTTGGTTCTACTAATGATGTTCTTTGCCAAGAATTTTCTAAGCTAATGCAAAGTGAATTCGAGATGAGTATGATGGGGGAGCTCTCATTCTTCTTGGGACTCCAAATCAAGCAAAGAAAAGATTGCATCTTCATCAATCAAGCTAAGTATGTCAAAGATATGCTCAAGAAGTTTGGACTGGAAAATGGAAAGCCACATAACACTCCAATGAGCTCATCAACAAAGCTTGACATAGATGAAGGAGGTAAATGTGTGAATGTTAAATTTTATAGGTCAATGATTGGTTCTTTACTTTATCTAACTGCAAGTAGAATGGATATTATGTTTAGTGTTTGCTTATGTGCTAGATTTCAATCATGTCCTAAGGAATAACATTTACTAGCTGTTAAGAGGATCTTTAGATACCTTAAGGACACTCATAGTTTAGGACTTTGGTATCCTAGAGACTCTAACTTTAGCTTGTATGCCTTCTCTGATACGGATTATGGAGGATGCAAATTAGATAGGAAAAGCACCTCCGGTACTTTCCAATTCCTTGGAAATATGTTGATTTCTTGGTTTTCAAAGAAACAAAATTGTGTTGCATTATCTACCACTGAAGCGGAATACATTTCAACCGGTAGTTATTGTGCACAAGTTTTATGGATGAAACAACAACTTTTTGATTATGAAATTGAAGTAGATACCATTCCTATCAAGTGTGACAATAATAGTGCTATTTGTCTCACTAAAAATCCCATCCAACACTCTAGAACTAAGAATATTTAAATTAGACATCACTTCATTAGATACCATGTCGCTAAGGAAGATGTAGTTCTAGAATTTATTGATACTTTGCACCAATTAGCAGATATCTTTACAAAACCTTTAGACAAAGAAAGATTTTGGAAACTTAGGAGAGAATTAGGTTTAACTTACCTATTTTCACTTAGTGTTTAAAATAATTTTAGTACTTTTATGTATAAATGAAAAATGTTTATAATAATAATTTTTTATTGCATTATTTGCTATTAGTTAGGGGGAATTTATGTTGCTTGATGAAAATTAATTTTATATTCAAAAGTAGTTTAAAGGATTAATTTGATTGATTGAACGTGATTAATTTTCAATATATGAGTTACCAATACCATTAGAGCCAATTAATTTAGTATTTTGAGTGTTTAAAATAGATTTTTGACATTTTTGTGCTTCATGCATCGATACACCTAACAGTGCATCGATGCATCCTTGAATGTGCATCGATACACCATGAAGGTGCACCGATGCATGCCTTTAATGTGCATTGATGCATGCCTTGAATGTACATCGATGCATAGGGTCATGCATCGATGCATCTATCGGGTTTTGGGGTTTATAAGGCTTATTTTCTCATTTATTTTCAAACCCTAAAACTAAACTCTCTTAGTCGTATGCCTCCTCTCCTTCTCCTACTCTCAAAATTACTCCAAATCCTTCGGTTTTGATCGGAAATCTTTCATATTTCATCTCTATATCCTGCTACTATCATTAAATTATGCAACACAACATCTCATTCCTCTCAAATCCGAAATTTTCAAGGTATTTTTCTAAAAACCTCTATTTTATCATATTCTAATCTTAGGACTAGTTTTAATTAGTTCTAGGATGAACATTATATCGGGCATTGAGTATTTGATGATTTTAAACTAGATTTTACAACCAATTTCATTAAAAAAAATTACAAATTTAAAAAAAATCAAAATTAAAAAAATGTGTATTTCAAAATTATGAATTTAATTTTTAAATTTGATGTTTTTTATTTAATTATGTTGTTTTCGTATACATATTATGATTTTTCAAAAATTATTTTCAAAACCTTGCCCATTAGGATTTGATTTAGAGAACCTTGAATTATTGAGGACTCAATTGAGTTTTGGGATTGATTAAATTGCATACATGTGTTTCAATATGCAGGTTATATTACTTTTTTTGATTCCTAAACTATGTTTAATCTCAAACGCCCTAGAACTTCATCGAGTCGTTCTTGTTCAAACCAACCTCCTAATCTCGTTCCTCCTCCACCTACATCTCTATTAGGATCTTGTTTTAACATGCCAGAGCGTCGTAGAGACCAATTGTACTCTAGCTATGATAGATATTGACTTTGAATACCTTTTGATTCTTAAAGCTTGGAAGTTTGATAAAATGTTTCAGCACAAACCTATCGTTTATCAACAGTTAGTCCGCATTGTCTATTCCAATGCGGTATGTATTCAAAACGAAACTCAATGTGGGACTATAGTCATTAGATCCTATCTTTTAGGCCAATATATTAATATTGACCCCGAGACTATAACTTTTCGTTTTGGGTTAGATGATGATGGGTCATATAATGAGACTGAAAATGTGGAATATCCCTATGTTCCAAATTCTAGTGTTAGTATTCTACGATCTCATCACGATCATTTTCTTCATTTGATGATCTCTTGGTGGTTTAGACCATCCGGAGGTAGGTACTCCACTCTTCGTGCTAGGGATTTATGGTGGATGCACTGTATTAAAAATAAGATCAAAATAAATCTGCCCCACATTATTTTTAGTCAACTAGTGGACATCATAAACATTGTTCCTTCAAAACATGTCGAAACATTGATTTATGGATGTCTTCTGAGTAACCTCTTTATCAAACTCGGTCTAGACGTCTCTCTCGACAATTATATCCCACTCCAAAATCAAATTAATCTTACTTCCTTGAAGAAAGCGGATTGGAAGCAAGACGAGGAAACATGTCTTTGGGTATTTCGACTCGGTAAGAAAACCCCGGAAGCTAACTCTTAATGAGCTGCTCCTAGCTCTTCTCATGCTCCTCCTCCTCCTCCTCCTCTGGCACTAGCTGCTGACAATGATCCTGAGTTTCAACAACTTATGCAAGATATCGACGATCACGTTCCAGACGATGAGCCTGCACCGGAACCGGCACGACAAGAAGATCAAATGCCACCATATTTTCGATCCTTCTTGGAGTCGTTTGATCTGAGGTTTGCCTCCATGGAGTCTCAGATTACTGAGTTTCAGCGGGAGATGCATGAACGTATGAACATGTTCACTCTTGAAATTCGAGCTCATTATCCTCCTCCTCCCGATCCTCCTATGGATTAGACCTTTTCCATGCTTTCTTGTTTTTTAAAACTTGGATTGATATTTGTTTTTGATGTTTCTGGATTGATTGTTTTGGATTAATAAATGTTTGAATTTGTTATGAGTTGGATGTTTTATGGATTTTTAACTTATTATATATATATATTTGGTTTGATTTTATCTTTATTAATTTAAGCTTAATGATTATTAATTTTTGCATCATATTAGTTCATTTTGACCAATTATGCCATTTCACATTTAATTATGAATATTGTTTATGAATATTGTTTATGAAACTAATGGCTAATCTCTCTTTTGATTGTGATCTTAGCAGCTTAAGCTATATATATATATATATATATAAATCGATTTTAAGTCTTTTTGATTTAACCAAAAGGGGGGAGAAGTGTTAAGTGTTAAAATGTTAAAAGGGAGAAGTGTTATAGTAAGGGGGAGTAATTTTTCAAAATTGATTTCAAATTTTTAGAAAATCATAAAATAATACAAATGTTTTGTTATATCAAAAAGGGAGAGATTTTTGAAAACATTTTTTTGTTTTGATATAACAAATTAAGTTTAATTGAATTTTAAGATTTTACAAATGATTTTATAAGTATATTCGACACAATTATTCGAATATCAAATCAATTACTCCAAGTCTTTTCAAGATCAAATTCAAACCTTACTAAATGTGCAAAATTGTGTTTTATACTTCATATATTTTTGAAACAATTTTCACAAAGTATTTTGAACCAAAATCAAGCCTAAAATCAATTTTTCAAAGTGATGCACCGATCCACAAATCCTTGCATCGATGCACCATGAATTAAATTGAACATCGAATGCATTTCATGCATCGATGCATGCACATACCATGCATCGATGCACTGAGGATTTTATGAAAACATCGAATGCATTTGATGCATCGATGCACCAGCCATGCATCGAAGCACTCTGGCTATTTTGAAACATCGAATGCACTTGATGCATCGGTGCACTAAGAGTGCACCGATGCACTAAGGGTCCAACGGTCAAAATATTTGAATTTTACACTGATGCACTGATGCACCATGGGTATGCATCGATACACTGACGCTCCCAACTGAATTTATTAATTGTTTTCACACTTAAACGACTATATTGACTCCATTAAGCATCCCCAACGTTCAAAATCATTTGAAGGTGTATTTAAACAAGCTTAGAAGCCATTGATCAAAAACAAGAAACAAGAATCAACAAGAATCAAGAGAGAATCAAAGAGAAAGCATCAAACCTCAAGTTTGAGCATTTCAAGCCTATTTTTCATTCAATATTCATTTTGCTTTCAAGAACACTACTTGTACTCAATTGTATTTATTTTTTAGTGTTCTTTTCATTGTTCTAGAATTGTGCAAACAATCTACCTTTTGAGGATTTCCTTGTAAGTTTGCAAATTTGTAATCTTCTCTTTGAGAAAGAATGTTCTCAAGAATTGGGGTATATTCTTGAGGGAGTTGTAAGGTTATCACTTTGGCCTCAAAAGAAAGAAAAATTAGTGAATTTGTTGGAAAATCCTTAGTGTGGATAGCTAAGGTAGTGGATGTAGACTTTGATTGAGAAAGTCGAACCACTCTAAATCGTTGTGCAATTACTTTCAATTTTCTGCAAAAGCTTCCACCAAAATTTTAATTGCCAATTCACCCCCTCTTGGCTGATTCCGTCGATCGATTAACTCAACAGACAATGCTTCTACCTTTAATGAAGGCAGTTTGATTAAGAGAAACCATTCCAGAGATAAGACTTGACAGTCTTTTGACAATAATCTTGGTGATGGCCATGTAAATGACTGAGCAGCAAGAGATTGGCCTGAAATCTTTGACTTTGCTTGGAGTAGGCATTTTAGGAATCAAGGCAATGGTAGTTTCATTAAAGGCAGGGAGAAGAGAAGAGTTCTGGAAAAAATATTTGATAGCATTGATCACATCCTCACCAACAATGGACCAAGAAAATTTGAAGAAATATGGAGTGTAACCATCGGGTCCCGGAGCCTTATCATTGCCTTGGCTAAAAATTGCTTCTTTGATTTCTTCCGAAGTAATTACTTTGACAAGGCTAGAGGCAGAATCTTGAGGAAGAGAGTAATTAAGAATATCTTTAAGGAGCTTCTTATCAATGTTCTTGACCGTAGGATCTGATTTCCCAATCAGATCAGTGAAGAAAGATAAAACATCAACATCCATAGAGTCAAAGGATTCAAGTCTTGCCCCATGATCATCAATAAGCATTTGAATAGTCTCCTTCTTAATTTTAACAGCCACAGCAGAATGGAAAAATTTCGAACATTTGTCGCCTTCTTTGATCCATTGCACCTTTTCTTTTTGCTTCAGAAACAGTAGTTCAGCTTCCTCAATGGAGGATAATTCCTTTTGGATTTGTAATTATTTATCAAAGAGTTCCTCTCCTTTTAAAGAAAGAATTTGCTGGTGTTCAAGCTCGAGTCTTTTTTGTTTTACTCGGTAGAAATGTCACTGTAGCAGGAATTGTTTAAATTTTTAAGGCTTTTCTTGGTTTGCTTGAGTTTGAGAAAAACAATATTCATGGGATTACCAAAGAATGTCTTCTACCAGGATCTTTCAACCTCTCTCAAAAAATTTGGGTGAAGCGTCCAAAAATTAAAGAACTTGAATGGTTTTGGACGGTTAGTGGGAGTGTCTTTAGAAAGCCATGTGATGGCCATACAATGATCCGAGACTCCAGGGGGAATAAATTCAATAGAAGATTTCGGAAAGGAGTTAACCCAGTTGGTGTTGATGAGGACCCTGTCAAGCTTCCTTGCAAGGTAAGTTTCAGCTTTTTTGTTACTCCAAGTGAATAAAGGACCTATGAAAGGGTGATCATGGAGATCTAAGTCTTGAGTTATATCTTCGAATTCTTTCATTTCAGAGGTTGAACCTGGATAGAGAAGTTAATAGTCTGAGCTCTCATTAGGTAGGAGGGTAATGTTAAAATCACCATCCAAGATCCAAGGAAGGTGACCAATCATTCTATCCAACTCTTGCATCTGATGCCAAAGTTGCCTTCGAATGATGCCATCATTACATCCATAAATAGTTGAGATAACAAAAGGAATTCCACAACACTCTCCTTTGGCTGTTAAGGTTTGATCAGTAACTTGAATGATAGTTAAGTCAATTCTTTTCTTCCAAAGAACCCAAATTCTTCTATTAACAGCACATTCATAATTAGAACAGACATTCCAATTGGCTAATTTGGAGTCAATGATGTCCTTGGAATTTTGAACTTTAACTCTAGTCTCTAGTAAGCAGAGGATATCTACATTATTTTGGGATGCCCTATGGAGCACTTTATTCTGTTTTAGAGGATTATTGAATCCTCTAATATTCCAGAAAGTGATGATCATTGGGAAGACAATCCCTTAGAGGGACCTTCACCCTCAACTATTGAACTCTTGGATTGTTCCACTTTTTCCTTCTTTTTGCTTTTGAGTTCTTTGACTATTTCAGCTACTCCCTTAGAAGCAATGCACGACTTCTTTTGACTGCCTTCGATAATAGGTAAACTTTCATCAACTGCATTGAGAGCCTCAAATCTATTTTTTTATCCTGCTAAAATTGCTTTATATTTTATAGGCCTTCCTCTACCTCGTTTGGGGACTGAAGCATGATCATCTTCTATTAAAACAGAAGGGTTGGGCAGTTTCACTTTGTTATCTATTTCTGCAGTTTTAGGTTCAGCAGGGATATCAGTAGAAGTTAGTTCTGAGTTATCTTCATTCACTTTTTCAGCTTCTTTTCTTGGTGCATCAGTGCTGTTAGGGTCTTGCAGTAACTTAATTCCACCAATTACTTCAGTTTCTTGCGTGACCTTACAAGTGAGAGATCATGTGGTGATAGGATCTTTCTGTTTCTCAAAAGTACTAGTACTAGCTGAAGAATATGAATCCTCCTTTTTCTTCCAAATTTGGGTTGAAGATTGAGTAAGATTGGCTGTTACCAGGCAGTTTTTATCATTATGACCGAATGTTTTACATTTTCTGCATCTAGGTGGCATCCAAGGAATTTCAACAAAAATAGAGGAGGTGCTGCCATCTTGCAGTATTACATCAATGTGTTTTGGGATGTCATCGTTAACACTAATTTCAACACAGATTTTGGCGAATTCAAGTCTAGTTTTGGATGCAGTGACCGAATCCATTGAAATTGGAACACGAATTCCACTGGCAATATAGCTTAATCCTATTTGAGAGAAAAGTTCTAAAGGGACGTTATACAGGTGAACCCAAATTGGGATTTTTGTTAAATTGAAATTTAGGCGTTTAAGGTTTGGTTCCCATTTTCTCAGTATGAGAGGCTTGTTCAATATGTGCCAAGGTCCATTTTCAAGGACCCAATCTCTAGCTACTTTTGAAGTAAAAGAGAAAATATACAGATTTGTTCCAGCAATACTGACCTGTAGACGAGAACCTTGCAGCGCCTTTCTCCATTGGGTTTCAATGATTCTTTGCAATGTCATGAAATTTGGAGCCGGTCCTAAGAATTGACCCACAATGGAGAGTTTCCAGTCCAAAATGCCAGCTTCCAGAATCTCTGATGGAGGGGAGATCGTGGGAATTCCATTTTTGAAAGACGGAGGATAGAACTTTAGGGCTTGGTCAGAAGAGCTCCCAAACAATTTTCTCCAATACATTGAAAGAGAGGCACAAGAAACATAAGAACAACACTGAAACCAACTGAAAGAAGGTCTTGAAGAATAGAACCAGAGAACCAGAGTAGACGGCAACCACCGGGAACGCGACGGGCAGAAATCTCAGAAAACCGTTAGGCCTGCTAACGTACGCCCAGAGAAACCCACTATCGTGCGCCCAGATAGAAAAAATTTTGTACAATCTTGATATGCTTTTAATCATCTTTTGGTGTTTAACAATTCACAAAAATTTATCTCATAAAAAAATACAACTATTTCAACAAATATTTAAATTTTAATTTTTTTATGACAGTAAATAACATATTTAACTAGAGAAAAGCAACGAAAAATCCATACAACTATAAAATAGTCAGGAAAATGTTAAAACAAAAATATATAGTGATGAAATAAGCAAATAACTAAACAAATCCAAACTATCAAAATTGATTATTTAATGGCCCAAAGCTAACAAAAATTTTAATTGATAGAAAGGTCTGCTGCTTGTTTGATTTGTGTCCATCTTGATTTTGTAGTTGAAGTTTGAATTCCAAAGAGAGCCTAGAACATGACCATCTATGTGTGATATATAGGACAAGCATACTCGTTACTTACCATCTTTATCAAACATGTTCGATGCTATTTAGAAACCTTTGTTTGATTTTCTTCAACTCAACCACAACGTCCTTCATATCTTTTCTTTTTTCTGGTGTCTCAGTTGAACAACCCAAAGCTAAGTCCATGATGGATGCAATACAATTTGCTTTAACAACAAAGTAGTCGTCCTCTCTTCTTAATAAATCAGCATCTGCAATATCTATCATTCCTTTAGACAATGATCTTTCCACCCAATCCCTCATATTCATTTCATCAGTGAAAACTTCATCAGTTGGCCTTTTCTTTGTGAACGTTTCTATTAGGACAATCCCATAACTATAAATGTCGCATTTTATAGAAACAATTCCTGCTGATCCGAATTCTACATTTCAAGCATAATCAAAGCTTTGTTAATTCTTAATTATTTCTGAAATGCCTTATCCAATTATGTATACACATACACATGAAAGAATATAAAAGGGACAAAAAGGAAAAATGATCATAAAAAAACTGAAATTCACCTGGAGCCATATAACCGATAGTTGCAAGAGTCATGGTATGTTTCATTACATCACCTTCTCCCAACAATTTGGCAATGCCAAAATCTCCCACATGTGCAACCATGTCATCATCAAGTAGAATATTACTCGGTTTTAGGTCGCAATGAATTACTGGTGTTGCATGTCCAGTATGGAGATGTTCTAGAGCTGTTGCAACATCAATCATTATGTTCATCCTTTGTAAGATATCAAGAGAATAGTTTTCAGAATGTAACCAATTCTCAAGGCTTCCATTAGACATGAAATCAAGCACCAAGGCTTTAAACTCGACATTAGAGCAGCAAGTAATGATCTTGACAAGATTCCGATGAACTATATTACGCAATGCTTCACATTCAATGTCAAAGCTCCTAAATGCTCCTTCTATCTGCAAATTGAAGACTTTAATTGCTACTTCCATTCCATCTGAAAGTCTTCCTCTATATACATATCCGAAACTCCCTGAACCAAGCAAATTGCTTTCCCCAAATCCATCTGTTGCTTGTGAAAGTTCAGCTTGTGAAATTCTTCTCCAATTTTTCAAAGACGGTGAATCATCCTTGACTGGTAGAGTTGTACTCTTACTTTGGCGCTTTCTGTACATAATAGTTAAGACTATTAGTACAATGACAATCCCAAATGCAGGTAAACCATACCTTAAAGCATGCACTATCATCATCTTGGAGTTTTTGGAGATGTTTTTCTTGCAAGGTGGGACTAGCAATCTTGGTGGACCACAAAGTGCAAAATTGTTCACGAATACTGTACTGGAAAAGTTTGGAAAACATCCATTGCTTGGAATTTCTCCTTCAAGTCTATTGGAAGAAACATTAAGATAATTTAGAGATTGAAGTTTTTCCAAAGATTTGGGGATGGCTCCGGAGAGATTGTTATGGCTTAAATCCAAGAGTCCCAAACTAATCAAACCACCAAATGATTCAGGGATATGACCATGTAACTTATTATTTGATAAGTCTAATGAAAGCAGTGTTAGAAGACCCCCAATTGAAGATGAGATATCACATGTGAGCAGATTCCTTGATAAATATTCATTGAATGTCAAATTTACAAAATATTTACATAACCACTTTTATTTATTTTGCAAACATTTTCAAATAAAAATAAAATTTATGCACTAAGAAATGCAATCAAACTTCCCCAAGATCTAATAGAAATTACAGTTAAATTAATATAAGTATATCTTAAATATAAAATATTTTTTTAAATGCCAATAATGATAATTATATTTTCTTTTTACATTTTTTTTATTTTAAAAAAATTAAACAAATATATGTCAAATATTTTAAACTTAATTTTAATTTATTAATTTTAATCTTAATCATTTTCTTTTTTTATATTTTAATCAGTTTTCTCCATTAAAACCTTCTAGAATGTATTATAAATAATTTATTATTGATTTATTTATAGTACTTTTTACCCATATATTATGAATTAATAGTTCCTATGTCATTAATTGGTTACAATGTATTATCATTTACTATTATAGTCATCTACTTTAATTTTTTAAATGCATTGATATATTATCAATCAATTATGAATTAGGGTAAAGTATTGAAATGATCCCTTGACCATAGGACAATATTTTTTTGGGTTCCCCGGCTATTAAAAGCTACAAATGATCCCCTAATAATAAGACATTATTTTGTTGAGTCTATCGACTATTAAAAGTTAAAAATGATCACCTAACTACTCATTATGTTCCAAATTGGTCATTTTTCATTAAAATTGACGATAACTTGAATTTTACGTTAACATTCTAACTGGATATGATAAAATCTGATCTCATAATCTTACACGATTATTAATCTCTGTCAGCATGATAACGTCCAACTTAAACTACCGTCAATTTTTAACAAAAAAGACGAGTTTGGAACATAATGAATAGTCGGTGAACATTTTGTAACTTTTAATAGTGGATGGACTCAACAAATCAATATCTTATAGTCAGGGAACCATTTTGTAACTTTTAATAGTCGAAGGCTCAACAAAGCAACATCCTACAGTCGAAGTACCATTTGTGTACTTTACCCTATGAATTATTATATTGATTTTAAATATTTAGACGATATTTACATCTTTTCATTTTGATACTTTTGGTGTACACTTACGTATGACGAGTGACGACGACATATATGACCAAAAAGGAAGAAATAAATTAAAGTAAATGCTATTGAACTTGGAATAAGTATTAAAAAGAAAACAACATACCTTGTAAAATGTTGTCAGATAGATATATACTTTGGAGCATGGTTGAATTCCAAATGTTTGTTGGAATGATCCCTCTGAATTTATTAGAAAATAATGACAAAACGCGAAGGTTAAAACATTCATATATGCTGAGTGGAAGAGAACCTGATATTTCATTTGATTGCAAATTAAGCTCTTCAAGATTGGAAAGATGGTAACAGAGATCATCAGGCAGAGTACTCGATGGACTATTGTTAGAGAGATCAATAATCTTGAGAGAAGAAACGTTGAAGATACAAGTCGGAATTTCACCTGTAATCATAGTTGAAATATCCAAGTGTTAAAGCTTAGTATTTTGTTATTAAAATCAAAGACCTTTTTATTTTATAGAAATATTAAACTTTTAATCATATTTGAACTCATTTATAAATCAAACTTAATATTTTGTTCGAGGGTAACAAAAATTCTTACATTTCGTATCTATTATGAATCGAAGTTTAAATAAAAAAATGTGTTTAAAAGTAACAACTCATACCTTCTAGATTATGGACTCCCAAATATAATTCTTTGAGTTGTCATATTTCCAATGCTTCTTGGAATGGTCCCACTAAATTTATTAAAAGATAGAGACAAAGTTTGAAGGTTGCTGCATTTGCCTACAGTTGATGGATATTACCGAATAATTCATTTCCATACAAGTAAGCTCCTCAAGATTTGGAAGATGGACACACAAATCATCAGGCAGAGAATTTGATAGACTATTTCCGGAGAGACCAATAATCTGGAGAGAATAAATGTTGAAGATACAACTCGGAATTTCACCTGTAATCATAGTTGAAATATCCAAGTGTTGAAGCTTAGTATTTTGTTATGAAAATCAAAGACGTTTTTATTTTCTAGAAATATTAAACTTTTAATCATATCTGAACTCATACCTTCTAGATTATTGATTCCCAAATATAATTCTTTGAGTCGTGTCATATTTCCAATGCTTCTTGGAATGGTCCCACTAAATTTATTAGAAGATAGTGCCAAATATTGAAGGTTTCTGCATTTTCCTACAGTTGATTGGATATTACCGAATAATTCATTTATATACAAGTCAAGCACCTCAATATTTGGAAGATGGACACACAAATCATCGGGCAAGCTTCTAGAAAGACTATTATCTCCAAGATAAATCCCTTTCAAAGAGGTAATCCATCCATAGAAGATGGAATCTGACCAAACAGTTGATTGGCTCCCAAATTTAAGATCTCTAAATTGGACATGTTGACAAGTGTTTGCGGGATTGTGCCTGTGAAATTATTACTATACATTTTCAACATTTTAACTCTGTGCAAGTTCCCAAGCCACGATGGAACCTCTCCGTTAAGACCGTTGAAGCTTAATCGAAGGACCCTCAAACGATGTAGCTGTCCCAATTCCATAGGCAGATGGCCATAGATATGGTTTCTGCTCAAATCAAGAGAACGTAGAAATGAAAGATTCCCAAGGTGCGGAGGGATGTTACCCGTAAGATCCATGCTTGTAAGATTCAAAGCTACAACTCTTTCATGGATGGAACCACAAGAAACACCAACCCACTTGCAAACAGAAGTAGAGGCCTTCCAGCGGTTAGCCAATGCATTTTGAGGATCCAAAATGCCATCTTTAAACTGGACAAGTGCAGACTGATCGGTAGTGAGATTCCTGACAGCTATCGCTGAGCAAACTATGAAACATCGCACCCACAAACAGAAATTAGATGGGAGCATGGGTTGTACTTCATGGTTTTTGAGACGAAATAAGCCAAAGAAAAGAGAAAGTAGGAAGAGGGGATTTGAAGATGATGTAATTGGATGATGAAGAAAAGAGCATGCTTAAATAGGTACAATTTCTGTTTATCCGGTGCTTCCTTTATCTGCATGCAATTCCAACGCAAATTAATTTAGAGTTGAGTCACCAAATGAAAGTGACCTGAGCTCCAGGAATTATCACTAATTCCATATTTATGGAATACTCTCTCCGAATGAAATATTCAAATGATAATATCGTATTTTAAATCTATATGCACATCTAAAACACAACATAAAATATCACATGATAAATATATATATATATTTCAAATATTGAAATATCTCAAAATTTACATGATAGAAATTATTAAAATATTTAACTTTCTAAAAATATTATTTTAATTAGATAACACAACAAAGGACAATTATATAGAGATAATTAGATTTTTTTATTAAAGAGATAATTAGATTGAAATCTTATTTTTGGTGTTAAAAAATACACAAACAATATGAATGCAAAAACATTGGGTTTATTTCATTTCAGATTTGATCACAATATCATATCTAAATGTTAATTAAAATTTTATTTAAATTATTCTATTATATATATATATATATATATGCACGAACCAAACACTTTAATAGTTAAGAGATTTGTTGTTGTTCATTTGATGTCTCAAGTTCGAGCAATGCATATGCAGATGTATGAACATTCATTGTCAAATGGTCGAGTCTCTGAACAGATACTATCTTGTATTTATCTCATATTTATTAAAAAATAATATATATATATATATATATATGTGTGTGTGTGTGTGTGATTACCAAAATATTATGTACATAAAGTTATTAAATTTTATAATATATAGATTATATATTTTCATGTATAATTATTTAATATATTGACAATGAAACTTTAATTTTATTATAACAATTTTATTTTTACCACTAGTGTACAAAAAATTAATCATACATTTTATTACAATATATACTAAAGTAACAGTTTGGTATTTTTAGAATTTTTAATAATAACTCTAAAATAATTTTTAATTTTTTTATATCTAAAAAAACAGAATTCATTTTCTTAAAATCATAAAATTATTAGAATTATAAGTAAATTTTTTTAAAAAGCATAATTTTTTTAAAAAATATATAAAAATCTCCAAAATCTCCAAATGAATCTAAATGAACTTAATTCAAATTCTTCAGCTCTTCAATGAGACGAACTTGTCAATTTTAACACTTGCAAGTCATTTTTAAAAAAAGAAAAAAGAAAACACTTGCAGGTCAATTTTAACATTTGTCCCTTACAGGGAGATGACTTTTAAAAATTGTTTAAAAATGTTCATGTAATCCATCACAAAGCAAATTTTATTTTATTTTTCTTAATAATAATTTTAATAATAAAATCTTCTACAAATAGAATATATCCTGATTCTATAACTACTTCTCTGGGACATCCATTTTTAGTGCCAATAGATTAGAAAAAAGGGGTTAAATTTGAGTTCAAAACATATATATTTCGATTAATATCATTCTGTCACATTCGATGAATACCGATGATGACCACTAACTGTAAACATCATTAACTTAATTTATAAAAATTTAAAATTCTAAAAGCTCGACATATAATTATAAATTAATTAAAAAGTTAAAGGTAAGTTATTTAATATAAGGGTAAACTATACTAGTGACACTTAAGTATTGCTCCTTTTCATTTTGATAAAAAAAATTCCAATGCAAATTAATTAGCCATTCCGAATGTGAATTAATGAAGACGTTACGACTTACAGTCCAGTCACGAAATCAAACCCATATCACAATCATCGTGGAATTACTTGCCATACCCGATAGAGTAGAATCTTCTCGCTAAATTTTCAACAACATAACTCAAATTAACACTATAAAAGGAGATTGCATAATTTAATTAATAATAAAATATTAATCAAATAAAACACTCATCAAATACAATATTAAAATTTTAAACGAAAAATAATACAACACGAAACATTAAGATCAAACGTAAACGTACCGACAAAATCATGAAATAAAAGATCAATAATATCCTTCAATGTCAAATCTCGCTAGAGAGAACGCCAATCCGATTGCTTTTCTCCTTCACCGATAACCTTTTTATTTATTTTTCAAATGAGTAGTGAATTTACTATTATTTTTAAATAAACCTCTGTACTTCAACTCTGTTTTAAAAAATTACTGTTTTACTCTATCCAATGAAATTGTACTACCAAAAATATTTTATGTATCCCATTTAAATTTTGCTCATATATTTGACATATACTAAAATCATATATATTAATATTATACATGCACTCTATGTGGATCCTGTATATACTAAAATTCTGTGTAAGAAAAATAATATTATTTTCTAAAATACAAAATTAATAATTAATGAAAATAGGTGGAGGGATATAAATAATGTGGAACAACAATAAACCATGCCAGTGTTTGTAAGAGAAGTATTTTTAATATTCATATAAAATTAAGGATAAACTAGTCCAGATATCATTGAAATTGTTTATATTAATAAAGTTCTAATTTTTTCATTAAAATAATTAACTTTGATTTGCATTTAAATTATATTATCAACCCGTTAAATAGTTAATGATACGGTAACGTAGCTAACGATTATCAATGTGATAAAAACAATCCCTTTTTGGCATAGTTGTTTTGATGTCCAAATTATAAAAAACGACGTTATTTTATTGGTCAAAAATATTAAAATATCACATTTAAAGGATTTTGATCTTGAATCTTTTGAAAACAAAGAATAGAAATCAGCCATTCAACAAACTTAAGCTTTTATTAGATTGTATCGAAAATAAATAAATATCAAACTATACTTAGAGATTCATTTTTCAAAATCAATTTATTATTTATAATATAAATAATATTAATATATAAAATATATTGTTTACATATTAATATATAATATAAATATATTATAAATAATATTAATATATACTACTTTTATATGAAAAAATATACTATATTTAGAATATTATAAATAATATATATACACACACAAATAGTTGTATTAAAACGATGTTATTCTGGTGTGACACTCACATCAGAATTATCAGTCACGTCACGGATTCATTAATGATTTCATAATTTAGTGATATAATAAGAACTAAAATCAAAATTCAGTGTTATAATTTGAAGAAGCTGAAAATTTAATGGTATGAACAGTGCATCACCTAAAGTTTAGTGATATCTAATATTATTAACCTAATATTAAAATCATATGGATAAAGATAATCTTTCGATGTATCTATAATAATAAACTTGAATGTTCTACAACTAGTCTTGTTGGACTATACAAACATTTATTTTTCCAAGAGGACAGACCACACAAAACTGTAATGTCCCGTATCTTAGGTCAGTAGTTCGAGTCAACTCAAAACCCGTAAGTCAAGCCAGTTAGACCTCCTAAGATAGTTTGAACGAATTTATGATAGTTTTGGGCTTAAGGTTGGCCCAAGAGGTAAGACAAGTGATGGTTTTAAAAGTGAGTTAGAAGGAGAGTGACCAAAAGTGTAGTTTACCCATAGATAGTTAGATTTCAAGCTAGTCTTTTAATATAGGGAATAATTCGAGTTGGCCCTCGCCTAAATGCTCGAGGGACCATCTCGATTATTCGATTCGATAATTGATTAAAATCAAATTGGATTAATATTAGAACCTACACATCTAGGTTTGTGCCTTTAGGTCCTTTAACTTTCATAATTTGACGCTTTAAGCTTGAAAAAACCTTAATTTACTTTTAGTTTAATTAGGATAAATAAAATTTGTTTGATTGCATTTTATTTTTAAACCCTAAGATAATGTTCACTTATTAGGGAATTAATGGTACATCTCCCACAAGTATATTCAGAGGGTGACTATTGTTGATTCCCGAAATAGGCCGACATTCTTTTCAAAGACAGCATCATGATTTTCTAAAAATGAGGCAATATTCGGTTATTAGGCACAATAGCTTATCTCCCACAATTACGCTTGGGAGCGAATGCTATCGGTCTCAATAAAAAAATACCCTTTTCAACTTTGCACCCGTAATGATTTTCAAATTAAATAAAGATCGAACTCAAAATTTTTGATTTTAAATATAGGGTAATCGACTAGGTACCAAATTTTTTGGTTCTTGTGGGGGTGCTAATCCTTCCCCATGCGTAACAGACTCCCGAACCTAATTTTTGGATTTTCATAGACCTCAAAACTCAGTATTTTGATAAAAATAAAATGTTTTATTTAAATCACCCGAATTTTACGGTGTCCCAATCGCACCTTAAATGATTGGTGGCAACTCCTCACATTTCAAAACCTTTTTCAAAGAGAAAACCCCCGAGTCGGTATCAGTCTTTTCCCCGCCCGGGCGAAAAACGGTGTCGAGAGCTTGGTGACTCCGCTGGGGACGTTTTGTTTTTTAAAACAAATTAAGTGTCGAGCCACGAGTTAGTTACCCTATATTTATAATTATGGAATTTACGAGTTCGATCTTGTTTATTTTATGTTTCATTATGTTCTTTCAAAAGAAAAAAAATATTTTCTCTCTAGTTAATGCTTACACTTTTGTGGAATTATTTAAGAATGTTGCATATCATAGATCTAAACTTGAGCTCTAACCCGATTTACCTAAGTAGGGAGAAACGTTACACCTCATGAGGAGCATCGGGCTTCATTGTGTGGTTTGATAAAGTACCTATGGAAAGCACCCTAAGTTTCCTATCCGGATATCAGATCGGAGGTATGGTTTTAGTGGTGTGATCCCCTGAGTTGAACCCGATTCGCAAGTCTGTAATGGGCCAGAATCGGGGGCAACCTTAGCAGGTTGTAAAGATGGCTTGGGAACCTTTTTTTCTAGAACCCAGCCTCATATAGAGTATTTAGTAACCTTACCCCGCTAGATCCATGTGGATAGCCTAAGAGAATTAGAACACATGTGGTTAGGATTATTAATTTCCTTTGTATGCTTTATTTTTTAGTCTCAAATTTGAGTCGAATTTAATTATTTGTGCTCATA